TGAGGAAAGCCAGAAGTTCAACACAGACCGTGAGAGAGAAACTTCTAAAAGGTTTGAGTCTTCAGCTCTCTTTCCCAAAAAGAGTTAACCTAATTCAGAAAGTTAATATTGATAATCATATTTAATTAGATTCTTGTTTTTGTTTTTGGTGTAATGCAGAATTTAGCTGCCAAATCTGTAGGCAAGTGATGAGTCTTCCTGTGACAACGCCTTGTGCTCACAACTTCTGCAAGCCATGCATAGAAGGCAGATTTGTTGGGCAAACTGTAATGGCAGAAAGAAGCAAAGGTGGACGCACCCTTCGTGCAAGGAAGACCATCATGAACTGTCCTTGTTGTCCCACTGACATTTCTGACTTTCTCCAAAACCCTCAGGTCAACATCATCATCTCTTCTTTCATATACTCTTATGTAGTTAATATTATTGCCATCGTATTCTAAAACTTAGTTGTGTGGAAACAGGTGAATAGAGATATAATGGCGGTGATAGAGTAGCTGGCGGTGAAGAACAAGGATGAGGAAAAAGCAGAGCTTGTTGATGCATCAGATGAAGAAGGTGCAAGCACAAGTGTAGATGAAAACTCTGACATTACCGAAGAAGAAACTCCAGTCGTCACTGAAGAAGCTGATGAACAACCAAGGAAAAGGATCAAGCTGGACACTGACACTAGATTTTTCTGCGACTGTGGTGTAGTCTTGGCTTCGAGGAAAAATGACCAAACTAAACCTATCTAATGGCTGCTTCTTCATCTTTTTCTTTTTCTATTAAACCAGAATGTTTGTTGTTCCTGTGATAGGATATCACTAATCTATCTCGGTTTATGTAAGACATTTTGCCAATATGGGGAAAAGTTAATGAAAGTATTATTATTCGGTATTTCTCTCTCTCACTCAACTATTCATCATCTTTCATCTCGTATACGTGCTGCTTTCCTTCTTCTCTCGCTTCTCTCTTCATGTACAAGCAATCTCCAAAGAGCCTCTCTTTGCGACCTATCTTGATCTTTGTTTGTGCCTTAGTCTTTTTAGGACTCGACATTTACTTGTCACTCAAGTTAGTAGAAGCAGTTGTTTGTTATTTGACTTCTTTTGAACTAAACCTTGATTGTGTTCCATGAACCGTGATAACAATAGAATATCTTCCATTTTCGCATAAAATTAATAACATTGATATACAATATCTGTGATTAGTCCCTAACTCCCTATAGTCCGATGTTTAGTTTATATATTAGGCACAATTTCTGCCTGAAATGCGTTGGGAAATGGACTGTTGGTCAAGGCAAGCCTACTTCTATAGAATGCCGCAAAGTGATTCCTGACAGAATGGTCAGAAAATCTCGGATCAACTCTGCCCTTGTCTCTGCCATTCGTCTGGCCAAAGTACAATGAAAGAGAAGAGATGAAGGCAGAGAGCGGTCTCAGTCTGACCGGAGTAGGGGAATGTAAAAGATAAATGATGTCTACTACATATAGAGAAGAAGAAGAAGCCATTGGATGCTTCTGCTGCTGCTGCTGCTTTTGCTTTCTTGAGGAAGATATTACATTTGTTGATGGTCTTGCTGCTGGCTAATGCACAATTTAGTCAGCGGCAAGACTATCACCAAATGCAATATATTCCTCGAGAAAGCACAAGCAGCAGCAGCAGCAGCAACAGAAACATCCACCTCTCAAGCTGCTGCTAATGGCAACGAGCATCAACCTATGGAAGTTGAAGTTGATGGAGAAAAACAGAAAGCACAAGCAGCAGCAAAAGCATCCACTGACTTCTTCTTCATCTCTTTCTATTGAACCAAAATTTTGTTGTTTTTGGGAGATGATATCACTTATCTATCTCGGTTAATTTATGTTATCTCTTTCGGTTTTTACTTTGGTTGTTTGTACTTTTAAACATTTTATGTAAGGCATTTGCAATTTGGGGAAAATTTAATGAAGGTATTAACTGTTCATCATCTTACAGCCACATGTAAGGGCCTTGATCCAGTCTCTGACACTTGCTGCTCTCCTCCTTCCCTGGCTTCTCTCTTCAGACACAAGCAACTCCAAGGATCCTCTCTTTGCTACCTATCTTGATCTCTTTTTCTGCCCTAGCTTTTATAGGACTCGGCATTTACTTGTCACTCAAGTTAGCAGAAGCAGCTGTTTGCTATTCGACTAGACCTGGATTGTGTTCCATGAACCGTCTTAACAATACAATATCTTTGTTAAGTCCCTATGGTCCAATGTTTAGTTTATATATATCGTTTGATCGTCTTGCTTATTGGTTAATAACTTCGTATTTTCTTTTGAAACAAAAAAAAGGTTCTTATTTTCTTATCTTAGGTTGTCATCTTGTATTTCTTTGCAAAATCTTTTTTCGTTACAGGGTTTTCTTATATTAAAGGTACTTTCTTGAACATCACGGTGGATCCAGAAATTCCAGCCATGTGATCGAAGTGAACATCACGGTGGACACAGTTTACATGAAGCTGAGCGAATCGCTTCCGAACATCACGGTGGATCCAGAGACGTATGTTGTCACAACAAACGGTGAGGTACTTTGTTGTTTCAGTTTCTTTGCGCATTATATAGGCACTGCTTAACTGGATTGATACACCTAAAGCAATTTAGAAAGAATACGCATAGGTGATGATTTGTCATTTGTTTTTTTTTTGGTAAAGGGTCTTCATGATTTGTCATTTGTTGCTGTAATATTATCTTCTGTGAGAGAAGAAGCAAAGAAAAATTGGAAAGTAAATGTAGTGAAAGAGATAAACAAGAACTTTAAAAATATTGTTTAGGGCAAGGCACAAGAGGATCTTAAATGAAGCACTTTATGCTTTTGTGCAACGTTTATAGAGTTAATGGAGTTTATGAAAATATCTAAACTCTTTAACAAAAAATTAAACAATCTAAACGAAACACTTAATCACTAACAGTGATCAAGCCACAAAAGAAATATACGCATGACGTAGCACACAGTGATCTAGACATTTTCATTCTTTTTTTTTTTGAAAAATAAAAGGAAAAAGGTACAAAACCAAACTGGGTGAATTTAGTATCCCAAACGACCAAACCGAATATCTAAATCACAAATAACTATATTTCAATTTTTTGTTCATATAATCTTTGTTCATATAATCTGTTTTCATGGATTCAATAGCTAGGGGTTTTGTTGTTCTTTGGTGAACCTCTTGAATACCGAATTTTGTTGTTTTTTAATTATCTAGGTTTTCTTTTTTGTTAGTTTGATGAATTTGTAAATCGCGTATCTCATGTTAGTGTTTTTTATATCTAAATCTCGCTGTTCTTAAGAAACTACAAATCCAGTTATTAGAATCGTACGTTGTTAATGTAACCTGTTTTTGTTTACACGTTTTGGTTGGCAACAAAAGGACTAACAAGGAGCAAACGTTTGACCAGAAGTTTGCAAACGCAAATGAAGCTTTAAGATTGAGTTGCAAAATGGGTTATCCTGTTCGTGTTGTCAGGTTAGTTTTTCTATGAGCAAAAGTCCATTGCTTTGAATTAGAATTTTGAACCAGAAACTATAAGCAGAAAGTGATACTAATCAAATCAAATTAAATTCCTTCCTTCATAAATAACTATCAGGTCTGAAAAGAAGTGTACTGCATATGCCTCTGCGAAAGGAGTAAGATATGATGGAGTTTACAGGATTGAGAAGTGCTGGCGAAAAGTTGGAAAACAGGTACAACATCTAACTAAGCTTTTTTTTTTTTTAATACAGATATTGATTGTTCTTTTTTTATATCTAACATGTTGTTTTTTATTTTTTATTTTATTTTTTATCTTTTCCATAGGGTGTTTTTAAGATGTGTCGTTACCTGTTTGTGAGATGTGACAATGAGGCAGCTCCATGGACCAGGTTTGATTTTACTTCTCTTGAGGAAGCGCTTTTTTCACAAATATTCTATAATTCAGAGTTTAATTAAGCTATGTATATGTACAATGTAGTGATGAGCATGGAGATCGTCCAAGATCTTTGCCTAATATTCCAGAGCTTGAGATGGCAACAGACTTGTTTGAGAGAAAGGAAAATCCATCATGGGATTTTGATGTAAGTTCACATTCTCTTAGGGTTTAGTGATCAGATTTCAAATTTTCATCTCCTGGTTCTCATTATATGTAATATCTTCCGTGTACACTTACTTGAACAGGAAAGTGATGGTCGTTGGAAATGGATGAAGCCTCCACCAGCTAGCCAAAAGGCACTTAATGCTTTGGACCCTAATGAGAGAAAAAGTGTGAGGAAAGCCAGAAGTTCAACACAGACCGTGAGAGAGAAACTTCTAAAAGGTTTGAGTCTTCAGCTCTCTTTCCCAAAAAGAGTTAATCTAATTCAGAAAGTTAATACTGATAAGCATATTTAATTAGATTCTTGTTTTTGTTTTTGGTGTAATGCAGAATTTAGCTGCCAAATCTGTAGGCAAGTGATGAGTCTTCCTGTGACAACGCCTTGTGCTCACAACTTCTGCAAGCCATGCATAGAAGGCAGATTTGTTGGGCAAACTGTAATGACAGAAAGAAGCAAAGGTGGACGTACACTTCGTGCCAGAAAGACCATCATGAACTGTCCTTGTTGCCCCACTGACATTTCTGACTTTCTCCAAAACCCTCAGGTCAACATCATCATCTCTTCTTTCATATAATCTTATGTAGTTAACACTATTGCCATCGTATTCTAAAACTTTAAACGGGGATTGTTATATCTAAGATAGCTCCTGCTTTGGTTTGTAATGGGTATAAGAAGATGTGTGATTGTTGTATAGTGTGCTATTCCAGTATTTATAATTGTATAGAGGCAAAGACGAGAAAATGATTTGTAGATTCTTTTTAATTTCTTTCACTTTGGTGATAATGACTTAGACTTGAGCTTTGCTCTTTCTTGCAGATGGAAAAGCGTTTCGATTTTAATCTGTTATGGAGTATCGTTAGGTTTCGCTCTTCTTAGACTTGTCTTCAGCTTACATATTTTTTCCTTAATTGTTGTTTGCTTTTTCATCAAGTTCTCCCTTAAACCAAGGAGCAAAAGCAACAACTGAACTCATTGATACTCCTCTTCGCCTATTGAGCATTCACCGTGATATTAAGGTTCAATCTTTTGTGTTTTTATCCTATGGCTAAGACGTACAAAAGTGAAACAAACATCATATCAACCCGTCATTTTTTTGTAACAAAGCTTATTACATTGTTATTTAAAAACAAAGAAAATGCAAACGCAGCAACAAAAAATGTGACAAACCGAAACAAAAGAAAAAACAAGTTAGGAAAGACACATTATTAATAATAATGTATTCTCACTTATCTTGTCTATGCATAATAGAATTTTCGTCTCCCTCTTTTTTTTTTTTTTTGGTTTTCGTCTACAATTCGTCTCCCTCTTAATTCACCCTAGATCCTCTCCTCTCTCCCACCCTTAAATACAAGAACCACAATTCTCTCCAATCTCATCATCTCTCAAACACCTTTTCTGTCCATATCTCTCTCTCTCTCTCTCTGATCATTTCTCTAAAACGGCGCAGGTTTCATGCGATGCCGACGGTGTGTGCATGAGATGCAAAGACGACTCCTCCGACGGAGGAATCTCTCATGTGCACCACTTGCGCTACGCCTTGGCATGCGTCATGTCTCTCCTCCCCTCCCGAGACTCTCGCTTTCACTTTACAGTGGGAGAAGTTGACTGTCTTCCGATTGCATCCAACGATGGATCAGATCTTGTCGCAGCCAAGACGCTCGGAGAAAACCTGTCTTGCGTTTTCTGCATTCAGTTGCCTGATAGGCCCGTCACGGTTTGTCCTATATCTCTCCTATGCTTGTTCATATAATCTGTTTTTCTTGAATTCAGTATCTAGGGTTTTTGTTATTGTTTGGTGAACCTCTTGAATACCAAATCTATATATTTTAGTTTTTTTTTAAGTTATCTAGGGTTTTCTGTTAGTTTGCTGAATCTGTAAATCGCGTATCTGTTTTATTTTTTATTTTTTTTATATCTAGATCTCGTTTTTATTTTGTGAAACTACAAATCCAGATATTAGAATATAATCGTCCCTTTTTGTCGTGTATACAGAATGCATGGACTTACTTGTGCAGCTGTGCTCACCATTTATATTAAAAAAAAAAGATGTCAATCGTTCCTTTACGTTGATAATGTAACCTGTTTTGTATACATATTTTGGTTGGATTAATTTATAAATTGTTAGGCAACTTAATTTCTGCAAATGAGTGTGTATATGTAAGCTTACACTTTTGCTTATATGGTTGATCAATTTTGTATTGGTTTTCGGTTGCAGTTTGTGGACTTTATTTTTATTTTTTATTTTTTATTTTTTAAATCATTTTTGACAATGATAAACCATTGAGTTTTGCCAAGTATTTGATATCGTGATCTTTACGTGATATAAGTGGCAAGACTTTTAAGTTAACTTTTTTTTCCTTCCTACTTTTTAATATGACTAAGTTTTGCAATAAAGACTAATAAAGAGAGCTGATGGATATCTTGTATGTGTATTTTTTTCAGGCACCATGTAGGCACAATTTCTGCCTGAAATGCGTTGGGAAATGGACTGTTGGTCAAGGCAAGCCTACTCTGCCCTTGTCTCTGCCATTCGTCTGGCCGAAGTACAATGAAAGAGAAGAGATGAAGGCAGAGAGCGGTCTCAGTCTTGACCGGAGTAGGGGAATGTAAAAGATAAATGATGTCTACTACATATAGAGAAGAAGAAGAAGCCATTGGATGCTTCTGCTGCTGCTGCTGCTTTTGCTTTCTTGAGGAAGATATTACATTTGTTGATGGTCTTGCTGCTGGCTAATGCACAATTTAGTCAGCGGCAAGACTATCACCAAATGCAATATATTCCTCGAGAAAGCACAAGCAGCAGCAGCAGCAGCAACAGAAACATCCACCTCTCAAGCTGCTGCTAATGGCAACGAGCATCAACCTATGGAAGTTGAAGTTGATGGAGAAAAACAGAAAGCACAAGCAGCAGCAAAAGCATCCACTGACTTCTTCTTCATCTCTTTCTATTGAACCAAAATTTTGTTGTTTTTGGGAGATGATATCACTTATCTATCTCGGTTAATTTATGTTATCTCTTTCGGTTTTTACTTTGGTTGTTTGTACTTTTAAACATTTTATGTAAGGCATTTGCAATTTGGGGAAAATTTAATGAAGGTATTAACTGTTCATCATCTTACAGCCACATGTAAGGGCCTTGATCCAGTCTCTGACACTTGCTGCTCTCCTCCTTCCCTGGCTTCTCTCTTCAGACACAAGCAACTCCAAGGATCCTCTCTTTGCTACCTATCTTGATCTCTTTTTCTGCCCTAGCTTTTATAGGACTCGGCATTTACTTGTCACTCAAGTTAGCAGAAGCAGCTGTTTGCTATTCGACTAGACCTGGATTGTGTTCCATGAACCGTCTTAACAATACAATATCTTTGTTAAGTCCCTATGGTCCAATGTTTAGTTTATATATATCGTTTGATCGTCTTGCTTATTGGTTAATAACTTCGTATTTTCTTTTGAAACAAAAAAAAGGTTCTTATTTTCTTATCTTAGGTTGTCATCTTGTATTTCTTTGCAAAATCTTTTTTCGTTACAGGGTTTTCTTATATTAAAGGTACTTTCTTGAACATCACGGTGGATCCAGAAATTCCAGCCATGTGATCGAAGTGAACATCACGGTGGACACAGTTTACATGAAGCTGAGCGAATCGCTTCCGAACATCACGGTGGATCCAGAGACGTATGTTGTCACAACAAACGGTGAGGTACTTTGTTGTTTCAGTTTCTTTGCGCATTATATAGGCACTGCTTAACTGGATTGATACACCTAAAGCAATTTAGAAAGAATACGCATAGGTGATGATTTGTCATTTGTTTTTTTTTTGGTAAAGGGTCTTCATGATTTGTCATTTGTTGCTGTAATATTATCTTCTGTGAGAGAAGAAGCAAAGAAAAATTGGAAAGTAAATGTAGTGAAAGAGATAAACAAGAACTTTAAAAATATTGTTTAGGGCAAGGCACAAGAGGATCTTAAATGAAGCACTTTATGCTTTTGTGCAACGTTTATAGAGTTAATGGAGTTTATGAAAATATCTAAACTCTTTAACAAAAAATTAAACAATCTAAACGAAACACTTAATCACTAACAGTGATCAAGCCACAAAAGAAATATACGCATGACGTAGCACACAGTGATCTAGACATTTTCATTCTTTTTTTTTTTCTGAAAAATAAAAGGAAAAAGGTACAAAACCAAACTGGGTGAATTTAGTATCCCAAACGACCAAACCGAATATCTAAATCACAAATAACTATATTTCAATTTTTTGTTTTTGTCATTTTACAATCGTCTAATAAAAATAATTATATCGAAAAGGCCCCCATTTTTAAGTTTGCAATACGCTCTGGTTAACCTTTGCATTGGTAGCACAATGTCAAATAATAATATTAAATTAAGGATGAATATGATGATTATACCAAAAGCTAATAGAAAGTAAAAATAACAGTTGGAGTTGGCGAGATTTCTTTCCTAACTGGTATTTTTTTTCCCTATATTTTGACTTTAGGAGAGATTTTATTCCTAATGTGTTGATTTGGTTTTATCTTTTTCTCCAATTTGATTTTGTCAATTTGTTCATTTTATGGAAATACACGTATTATTTGTTTTCATTTTCATTTCTTTTTGTTGACTGAATATCAATTTTTTTAAAATCCCCGCTGCTGCAAATTGGGTCTCCCTCTCAATTCACCCTAGATCTTCTCCTCTCTCCACCCTTAAATACAAGACCACAATTCTCTCGAATCTCATCATCTCTCAAACACATTTCTCTATCCATAGCTCTCTCTCTCTCTCTCTCTCTCTCTCTCTCTCTCTCTCTCTCTCTCTCTCTCTCTCTCTCTCTCTCTCTGCCAGTAGCAGCAGCTTGAGAGGTGGATGCTTCTTTTAAAGAATATTGGCAAGAAAAGGGACCTCAAGGTAATGTTTTGTTTAAGTTCAAGGCTGACCTGAAACTCTGCGAAGCTTGAACTTAAACAAAACATTACCTTGAGGTCCCTTTTCTTGCCAATATTCTTTAAAAGAAGCATCCACCTCTCAAGCTGCTCCTAATGGCAACCGGCAACAACCTGTGGAAGTTAAAGTTGATGGAGAAAAACAGCAACCATAGCGATCGTTGAGGTCTTCTTCTCTATATGTAGTAGACATCATATTTATCTTTTACATTCCAATGGCTTCTTTTCCTTTCTATTAAACTAAATTGTTTGTTATTTCTGTGATATGATATCACTTATCTATCTCTGTTTATATTATCTCTTTCGGTTTTTAATTAATTTTGGTGTTTGTACCTTTTAAACATTCTATGTAAGGCATTTTGCTAATTTGGGGAAAGTTAATAAAAGTATTATATTATTCAGCATTTCTCTCTCTCTCTCTCAACTGTTCATCATCAGCCACAAATAAGCTTCTTTAACCATTGCATTGGTCGTTGTCCTTGCTACTCCGGCGGCCTCGGAGCAGTAGAAGCTCTGTGCCTGATGTCATCCTCCAACCAACATATTCTATCTTTTATTCTGACAAAATTTGAAATCAGAAAAACTTCCCTCTTGTCCCGCTGATGAAGGTTTGTGAGACAAGATTTATGATCATGTCACGTATGGTTTACATTATTGTCCAAATACTCGGAAAGAAATTTATTGATGATTATATGGCTTAAACCATCAAGACAAGCTAGTTTAGATTATGCGATCGATTAAAACCAAACCAAACCAAACTGATATTAACCAGTTAACTTTCACCTGAGACGTATGTTGTCACAACAAACAGTGCGGTACTTTCTTGTGCACCAGCCAATTCAGTCCCGGAACTATTTCCTCTTTCAAGGTTTTGTTGAGAATACGCGCATAGGTGATGCTTTTTTTTTTTTTTTTTTTTTTTTTTTTTTTTTTTTTTTGGCTTTATACTTTATAGGTTACGATTGTTGTAATATTATATTCTCTGAACAAGTTTCTGTTAGAAAGGTGAGAGACGAAGCAAATAAAAATTGGAATGTAAATGTAGTGAAAGAGATGATCAAGTAATAGTATTATTTAAACGAAGCACTTTATGCTGTTGTGCAACGTTTATAGAGGTAATGGAGTTTATGAAAAGAACGAAACACTTAATAATTAACTAACAGTGATGAAGCCATAAAAAAAAATATGCATGACGTAGCACAATGTCAAATCTTTATATTATTAATTGAGAAGTACATTCTAATGTTTGGATACAAGAATTAGAGAAACATCTATTTGGATAGAAGAATAAATGGAAACAAAAGTTGTTTGGATATAAGAATAAGAGAAAAATCTATTTGGATAGAAGAATAAATGGAAAAAATTGTTTGGATACAAGAATAATAACTTAAAATAAACCGATGGTTTAGAAAACTTCCGTTTTCCATCTCTTAAAAATCTGCAAAAAAAAAACTTAACATAATCTAACGATAATTCCAAATCAATAGAATATGCTTTTTGGATTTTCGGGTTTTTATAGACAAGTTCGGGTTTGGGTGAAAATCTGAGACATAATTTTATAGAGATATATATAGAGATATAGAAATTGTTCGGGTTTCTTTGAAAATTTCTGTTCGGGTTAGGTTCAATTTTTTTTTCAGTTTAGGGTTTTCCGGATTTTTTAGATTTCTGGTTTTCGGGTTTAGATATATTAAAAAAATTGAGTATTTTAAAATTTTGATTAGGTATTGGGGTCGGGTTCCGGGTGAAAAAGTTTCCAGATTTTTTTTGTTCAGTCAGGGTTTTCGGGATTTTTTTGATTTCGGATTTTCATGTTTAGACCTATTAAAAAAGTTTGGGTTTTTAAATTTTTTGATTAGGGTTTTTTGTCGGGTTCGGATTTAGGGTTTAAATTTTCTACACAAAACAACAACGTCACACCGCACAAACGTGCGGGTACTCTGCTAGTAATAATACTAAATTAGGGATGAGATTTCTTTCCTCAATGGGACTATAGTAAAACCCCATGATTTTTTTTCCTATATTTTGACTTTAGGAGATATTTCATTCCTAAAGAGTTGGATTGAATTTTTTTTTCTTTTCTTCCTATTTTGTTTTGGCAATTCGTACATTTTATGGAAATACTAGATATAATTTGTTTTCATTTTCATTTCTTTTTGTTAACTGAATTTCAATTTTTTTAAAAAGGCACCCGCTGCTACAATTTGCGTCTCCCTCTCAGTTCACACCTTTATCCTCTCCACTCTCCACCCTTAAATACAAGAACCACAATTCTCTCGAATCTCATCATCTCTCAAACACATTTCTCGATCCATATCTCTCTCTTTGTTCCTATCACTATGGCGCAGGTTCCATGCGATGCCGAGGGTGTGTGCATGAGATGCAAGACGACTCCTCCGACGGAGGAATCTCTCATGTGCGGCACTTGCGCTTCGCCTTGGCATGCTTCATGTCTCTCCTCTCTTCCGGAAACGCTCGCTTCTACTCTACAGTGGGAGTGCCCCGATTGTTCCGGAGAAGATGATTCTCTTCCGGTTGCATCCAACGATGGATCGGGAGTTGTGGCGGCCATTCACGCCATTGAGGCTGACATGACTCTGACTGACGCGGATAAGGCCAAGAAGAAGCAGGAGATGATGGGCGGTAATATCGTTGTGGACGAAGAAGAAGAGAAAAAGGATAAAGGACTCGGAGATGATGATGTCTTGGCCACGCTTGGAGAAAACCTGACTTGCGTTTTCTGTTTTGAGTTGCCTGATAGGCCCGTCATGGTTTGTCCTTTATCTCTCGTTCTCTCTTTTGCTTGTTCATATAATCTGTTTTCATGGATTCAATAGCTAGGGGTTTTGTTGTTCTTTGGTGAACCTCTTGAATACCGAATTTTGTTGTTTTTTAATTATCTAGGTTATCTAGGTTCTCATGTTAGTGTTTTTTATATCTAGATCTCGCTGTTCTTAAGAAACTACAAATCCAGTTATTAGAATCGTACGTTGTTAATGTAACCTGTTTTT